ATATAATTGATATAGAACATTGTGTAAATGATCATTTTTATTCACTTTTCTGTTGTAGACTCTTAGATAGAGTTACACACAGAGTTGATGAGGAAAAGTTCTAATTGAAAAAAACACATTAATAGATGGAGGAGGATTAACAGAATTAGAAAAAATCACCATCTTGCAAGCCATAATGAAATCATAGGGTTAGGAAACATTAATTAGTGGAGACTGAAACTATTAGGTGAAAGTTTGCTGGAAAAGGGTGATGTCACCTCATTACCATTCTCAACGTGCTAATGTGGGACAGGCAGATATCACATGCATGCTGATGCCCTGTAACAGGCAATGCAGAGTACTTACCATAATACTTTCTTGATGAAAAACTGAATCAGAATGTAATCAAGCCTCTAGGTCAGCTATCAGCTTACAGAAGATAAGGGATAGTCACATACTGACTGAAAACACAATCAGCCAAAACCAGAATGTGGGCAATTCTGCAGGAAACAAAAATGGTGCACTTCCTGTAACAATTACATGACCAAAAATGGAGAGTTAATATTTACAGATTAAATGATATTTACTAGACACAAGAGCCAGAGGCTGACATTTTGGAGGAACAATCTACCTTCTCTTTTGCCAGACAATTCACATTCTTTCCCCCCATTGTGTTAGTTATGATGATGGCATTGTGGTTATGTTTTATATATTAGTATTTAATGGTAAAAGTATGTAAGATTTTGGATGTGCTGTAAAATGCCTCAGCCAAGGGAAAAAAAAGACGTTTGGATTTGATTTAGAACCACCTGTATCAAGACAATAAGAGACCGTTGTGAAAATCTGAATTAGAAGATGTTAAGGAGTTAATTATTATAAATTTATAAGAAATATTCTTAGATAACAGTGGTTCCTGGAGGTCAGCACTGTCTTGTGTTGAGAATAATGGTAATATGCTCCTCACACATGGATGTTAGATTTACTCACAGGGATCTGGTGGTTGACTTTGGCTACAGTGGTCTCAGTGAAGTTCTGCAGGTAACAGCCAGTTTGCAATGGGTGGACTTCATAGGTGCTGAGAAAATGGAAAGATGGAGAGCAGACGACCGATGCAAATTTAGCCATAAGGAAAAGACAGTACTGGTAGCAGTTTTCCTTCTACAGGTATTAACTGCTCCCATATCCTGCCATATATTAGGTGCTGGGAATGCAGTGGTGAACTTGAGAGCCACAGTCACCCGCTCCAAGACCGGTTTACTTCACAGAGGTGATTCGACTGAATGGTCAAATGCTCAGATATATGTTCAGAATTTCTGGCTCTAAGTGGAGCCCTTATTTTTTTTTTTTTCATTTATTCAACAAGTATTGAGTACCCACTCTATGCCATATTCTCCTCTAAGCACTCTGCATACCTTAGGGAGCAAGACTGGCAAAGAGTCGATGCTGTGTTGCATATTTGAACGCAGATATTATCAAAACTGTTAACAATGTGATGTTTCTGAGTTTTTAGAATGAATTCCATGGTCCTATGGAAAATTACTTTGTTACCTGCGGGAATAGGAAGCATTAGTTTACTGAGCCACCATACAAGATAGTGCAAATATGACGTTTACATGAAAATGAAGACTGTTAAAGGAATTCCTGTTATGTAAATATAGCTAAACAAATGAGAGACATTGAATAAATTACTAAGCTTCACAGTTGCTTGTGTAATTAAAGCAGGAGAACTCCAACAATAGGTTAGGTAGGGTTTGGAATACAAATAAGAACCATTATATAACTTCTAATCAAAGAAAAATTTAAATATAGCCCTAAACGCTTTCTTAAGAGGATTTTTTTTTTAATAATTTTATTTATTTATTTTTCCCCCAAAGCCCCAGTAGATAGTTGTATGTCATAGTTGCACATCCTTCTAGTTGCTGTATGTGGGAC